GAGCCGGTGACGGTGAGCTGCGCGCAAGCGCGAGGGCGCTGCGGCGGCGAGGACATCACGGTCGTTGACACAGCAGATATTTTTAATCCAAGAGCTGCCATCAGTGAGGCGTGCAAAGAAATTACTCATTGCGTCAGGCTGTCCTCCCCGGGCCCCCACGCGCTGCTGCTGGTGACCAAGCTGGGCCAGTTCTTCGAGGAGGACAAGGAGGCCGTGAAGAAACTGCAGGACATTTTTGGAGTTGATGTTCTGAAGCACACGATCGTTTTACTCACCCACGCAGAAGACCTGGCGGGGAGGTCGCTGCACGATTACCTGCGGTATTGCGGCAGCGGAGCGCTCCAGGACCTGATCCTGCAGTGCGGGAGCAGATACTGCGGCTTCAACAACGGAGCGGTCGGTGCCGAATGGGACCAGCAGGTCGCCAAGCTGATGGAGATGGTCCACCGCGTGGTGCGGGAGAACAGGGGCAAGTGGTACAGCAATGACATGTACCGGCAGCCCTCTTTAACGCAAGAGAAAGTGGAGTATCTCATGGGGAGGTACAAAGCAGAGAGGATAATGAGGGAGCGGTCCAGAGCTATGCCATGCAGGAAAGTTGTGGGTTGTGGGATAATTCTCCTTGTTCTTGCTCTGTTTTCCCTGAATTTCCTCATTTTTCCTGATTTCCGTATATTGTGGTAGTGATGAATCACAGAGTCATAGCAACATGGAGGCTGGCAGGGATCTCTGGAGACCATCTAGTCCAAACCCTGCTCAAGCAGGGTCCCCCAGAACCGGCTGCTCAGGACCACGTCCAGTGAGGTTTTGGAGACCTCCAGGGATGGAGTCTCCACCACCTTTCTGGGCAGCCTGTGCCAGCGCTCAGTCACCCTCACAGCGAAAAAGTTTCCTGATGTTTAAATAGAATTTCACTGCCCCTCTACTCCACTCTGGTGAGACCCCACCTGGAGTACTGCATCCAGCTCTGGAGTCCCCAACATAAGAAGGACACGGACCTGCTGGAGCGTGTCCAGAGGAGAGCCACGAGGATGATCCGAGGGCTGGAGCACCTCTCCTATGAGGAGAGGCTGAGAGAGCTGGGGCTGTTCAGCCTGGAGAAGAGAAGGCTCCGGGGAGACCTTATTGCCGCCTTCCAGTCCCTAAAGGGGCTCCAGGAGAGCTGGGGAGGGACTTTTTACTGGGGCATGGAGTGACAGGACGAGGGGGAATGGCTCTAAACTGGAAGAGGGCAGGTTTAGATTAAACATGAGGCAGAAGT